CTGATATTTTTGATATTTTGATATTTTTGCATTTCAGAGACGAAACCCCAGCTTTCACAATTAAACCATATCTTTCCAGGATAATATTCACATTTAAAATATTGATAAATGCTCAGGTAAATTATACCTAAAATGGCCATCCAGAGTTTGTTGAGAAGAAATTAACGATTTTAGTTAACAATTTTATCCTGTTTTACATTAAAGATATCAATAATAAACTTAAAAAGACAATTATGCATGCAGTCAATACACATTATTGGGTTTAAAGGGATTGCCAGCTTAACATTTCAAGTAAAAATGCTGAAAATGATGAAAATGCTGAAAATGATGAAAATGATGAAAATGATGAAAATGATGAAAAAAATCTTCAATTAAATTCTGTTTAAAATTTTAATCAATATTGATATTTGAAAGCATAGAAAATTGTCGTTTATTTTCATACCATATTTTAGGGAAATTGTGAGAAGGAAGCAGTCCAATTTTTATGGATTTTACTCTAAGAAAATAAAAGTCATTTCTGTTTCTAAGATTTGCATTTTTGATATTTCTTAATAATATTAAATCTTTTTTAAATGTTGGGGGTAATTAATCTCCTTTCAATTGAAATACAAATTTTATAACATTAAAAATCCTAATTCCTTAGCGGAGTAGGTTCAAAGCCCAAAAAGCTTCCGCTAGGGACTTATTCTGAGTAACCCCATAAATAGACGAATAGCTTTCTTTAGCAATGATTCTATCTTATCAATATTTTTGTTTGAAGTTAGAATTAGCAATGTTGAACTAAATTCTAAATGAGAGTGGAAAAAGGAGTAATAAAGTTTTCTCAAAGTTAATAGTAGTACGTTTACTAGTTTACCAACAAGTTATATTTTCTAATTCGTTATTCATTGTGTCTGTAAGTGTATTCAAGTTTATATATTTTGATGCCACATTTGTGTCGTCAGCAACACAGAGCTTATTATATATTATTATATTATTAGAGGTTTAATCATTAACATGGAGTTTATATAATATTAGAGGTTTAATCAATAACATGGAGTTTATATATTATTAAAGGTTTAATCAATAACATGGAGTTTATATATTATTAGAGGTTTAATCAATAACATAGAGTTTATATATTATTAGAGGTTTAATCAATAACTTAGAGCTTATATTATTAGACGTTTAATCAATAACATAGAGTTTATATATTATTAGAGGTAATGCATGATTAATCAGTATCATAGAGTTTATATAATATAAGAGGTTTAATCAATAACATAGAGTTTATATATTATTAGAGGTTTAATCAATAACATAGAGTTTATATATTACTAGGCTTTTAGGGCGCTTCGCTTCGCGCCCATCTTCTATTTAAATTGTGAACATGTTCTTTTTGTTTACATTTTAAAACAAAGAAGAAAAAATTTTGCGGATTTAAAAAAAATCGCGGATTTTCAAGATTTTAATTTTTTTTTACAAAATTAAAACCTTTAAAACAGATTTTTTTAAATTTTTATCATTCATAAACCTTTTCTGTGGTCACGTGATGTCCCACAAAAAATTTGGTCCCGATCGGTTCAGCCGTTTTGACGTTTATTGGATACAAAGTTTATATAATATTAGAAGTAATATCTGATTGATCAGTATTGTATTGTGCATACTCGTTTTCACTTCCTGTTCTGCTTTTCTACTATATGCTCTATTTTTTTGCGCTAAAGAGTAATATTCTCTACTCTATTACTATATCTAACTGCTCTATGAGTTGTGTTCTCTACTCTGTTCCTGTCGCTAACTGCTCTATGAGTTGTGTTCTCTACTCTTTTCCTGTCGCTAACTGCTCTATGAGTTGTGTTATCTACTCTTTTCCTGTCGCTTACTGCTCTATGAGTTGTGTTCTGTACTCTTTTTTTGTCGCTAATTGTTCTATAAGTCACGTTCTTACCTCTTTTCCTGTCTCTCACTGCTCTATGAGTTGTGTTCTTTACTCTTTTCCTGTCGCTAACTGCTCTATGAGTTGTGTTCTCTACTCTTTTCCTGTCGCTAACTGCTCTATGAGTTTTGTTCTCTACTCTATTTCTGTCTCATATCTATGAGTCACGTTTTTACCTCTATTTCTGTCGCTAACTGCTCTATGAGTGGTGTTCTCTGCTCTATTCCTGTCTCTAACCGCTCTAAAGATTCATGGTCTCTATTCTATTACTGTCTCTAACTGCTCTATGAGTCACGTTCTTACCTCTATTTCTGTCGCTAACTTCTTTATGAGTCATGTTCTCTAGACTATTTCTGTCTCTAACTGTTCTATGAGTCAGGTTTTTACCTCTATTTCTGTTGCTAACTGCTCTATGAGTTGTGTTCTCTACTCTATTCCTGTCGCTAACTGCTCTATGATTTGTCGACTTTTTGACAAGCCCACTTTATGAATTGGTGAAGAATAATCCCTGCTATTTATATTCTTCAAATAAACTCATTACCATACAAACTACAACTCATCCAGCAATTCTATATACTATATATACAGGGTGTGAAGTATTAACTATACAATATATACAGGGTGTGAAGTATTAACTATACTATATATACAGGGTGTAAAGTCCTATATACAATATATACAGGGTGTACAGTTCTTTATACTATATATACAAGGTGTACAGTCCTCTGTACAATAAATACAGGGTGTACTGTTCTCTGTACAATATATACAGGGTGTACAGTCCTCTATACAATATATACAAGGTGTCCAGTCCTCTATACTATATATACAGGGTGTACAGTCCTCTATACAATATACACAGGGTGTACAGTCCTCTAAACAATATATACTGGGTGTACTGTCCTCTATACAATATATACAGGGTGTACAGTCCTATATACAATATATACAGGGTGTCAAGTCCTATATACAATATATACAGGGTTTACTGTCCTATATACTATATATACAGGGTGTACAGTCCTCTATACAATATATACAGGGTGTACTGTCCTCTATACAATATATACAGGGTGTACAGTCCTCTATACAATATATACATGGTGTACAGGCCTCTATACTATATATACAGGGTGTCCAGTCCTATATACAATATATAGAGGGTGTACAGTCCTCTATGCTATATATAAAGGGTGTACAGTCCTCTATACAATATATACAGGGTGTACAGTCCTCTATACTATATATACAGGGTGTACAGTCCTCTATACTATATATACAGGGTGTACAGTCCTCTATACAATATATATACAGGGTGTACTGTCCGCTGTACAATATATACAGGGTGAACAGTCCTCTATACAATATATACATGGTGTACAGTCCTCTATACTATATATACAGGGTGTCCAGTCCTCTACACAATATATACAAGGTGTCCAGTCCTATATACAATATATACAGGGTGTACAGTCCTCTATACAATATATACATGGTGTACAGTCCTCTATACTATATATATACAGGGTGTCCAGTCCTCTATACAATATATAAAGGTTGTACTGTACAGTCCTCTATACTATATATACAGGGTGTACAGTCCTCTATACAATATATACATGGTGTACAGTCCTCTATACTATATATATACAGGGTGTCCAGTCCTCTATACAATATATAAAGGTTGTNCCTCCTAGCTGTACACTATAAATTATATAAGACTGATGTATGGATGTTGAAGGTTTAATTGAAAAAGGAAAATGAGGTTCATTTCCTGAACAAGCTTGAGTTCAAAACCATAGATAAAATATAAAAAAGAAAAAGATTACATTTCAAGAAAATACCGGCAAACTTTAGTATATCTCAATAAATTTTAGTAACTTTTTGCCCCTTTCTTACATTTTAACATACATTTCAGTAAATATCAGCAAAGGAATTGACTCTTTGCAACAAACCAAACTCTGATTTTCTAGTCCCTATATCTTCGGATTCCGACGTCGTAAACCTTTGCAATTTCAAATTATGACTTGTGTTAGATCAAAAAATATTAGTTTGAAATATCAAAGGTTTACGACATTGGGTTCCAAAGATATTGGGATTAGAAAATCAGAGTTTGTGGCAAAGAGTCAATTCCTTTCCTTACATTTTATTACATTTTAGAAATTACCAGCACAATTCCTTACATTTCATTACATTTCAGAGAGCATCAGCACATTTCCTTACATTTTATTGCATTTTAGTAAACATCAGCATTGTTTTCAAAAACGACTTTTTAGTAGTTAAAAACGAAACAATCGTTTTAAGAACTAGTTTTTCGTTTAAATGAAAAAGTGATTGTACGTTTTCCTAAAAAAAAATTTACGTTTTTTTTATAAATCCATAAATAAGCGAAAAATTCTGTTCTTTCCCTATTTTTTATTGTATACATAGAATGATTTGTCTGTGGTATACTTTATCTTTGTCTACAGCTGATCTAATCCTAACTACAAAACAGTTCTAGATTTTGTCGTTTAATAACTTTTGAAGATGAACAAAGATGTGTTAACAGTTTTCATTATGATCTAATGTTGGAACTTTTGTTTGAAGCATCGCTAATCTTGAAGGCTTGATCTCGATATCAATTGTGACAATCAATCAATCAATCAATTTGAGAATATATGCAAAGTATGAACAGGACGGGATATCGAAACCGTAAGTCTACGTAAGATGGATATCATTGTAATATTTCAATATTCACAGCAGTTTCGAACACTCATAGAAAATATAACATTTAGATAGAGGTAAAATGTTTTGACAAGAAATCTTCAAATCTGTTTATGTTTAGAATAAAAAGAAGACAATTATAATCTTGTTCTATGTTTAAAAGTAGATAAAAAAGTCATAAAAATATGTCAGTTTGCTAAAATTGCAAAACAAATGCTTACTGCAGTAACCTTGGAAATGGAAAATGTCCCCATTCATCATATTAGCAAAATTTAGTGGGGACCTGGCTTGGCCATATAAGGCATAGGTGGGTTAAATTTTCACAATGGTTCCACTTAAAAAAAAATTTTGCTCATAAATAAATAAAAAAAGAAAGAACAACCTACCTCTGTATTATGCTTCAGATTAAGCAAAGTGGATTCAGCTTCAAATACAATATTTCTGTCAGAAAGTATCTTCAAATCTTGAACACCTCCGGATATCTAGATATATAAACCTCCAGATATTTAAACGAATAAACCTCTAGATATCTAGATATATAAACCTCCAGATATCTAGATAAATAAACCTCCAGACATTTAGATGTATAAACCTCCAGATATTTAAATAAATAAACCTCTAGATATCTAGATGTATAAACCTCCAGATATTTAAACAAATAAACCTCTAGATATCTAGATATATAAACCTCCAGATATCTAGATGTATAAACCTCCAGATATTTAAATAAATAAACCTCTAGATATCTAGATATATAAACCTCCAGATATCTATATAAATAAACCTCCAGATATCTAGATGTATAAACCTCCAGATATTTAAATAAATAAACCTTTAGATATCTAGATATATAAACCTCCAGATATCTAGATATATAAACCTTCAGATATGTAGATAAATAAACCTCCAGATATCTAGATATATAAACCTCCGGATATCTAGATATATAAACCTCCAGATATCTAAATATATAAACCTCCAGATAAACCTTTCAATCCTAATTAATCCTTAATCTAATACATCATTCCTTATTTTCTGTATGCATTCTTATTATAATACCCTTTCTTACTTTATCCTTATTCATTCTCATTCCTATACATCCTATCTTATTCTACCATCATCCTTTTTACTTAATACGTCATTCATAATTTCTTTTGCTTAGACTCAATTTTCTGTCCATTTTATCTCTCCTCTTAGATTGTTCAACCTTCCTATAGTTTATTGAATTACTGCACACTATTATTTATCCATGTGACCCCTAATATAGATACATATTGTATATATAGATACATATTGTATATATAGGCATATATTGTATATATAGATATGCATATCTCGTACAGTGAAAATCATACAACTCTTGAATAGGAAGACGACTTGTAGATCAAGTTATGGCTTAAAATAGTCCAATGAACATGAGACACTGCAGTTGTGTAGATATAAACATACTAATTTCACATAACAAGCCAATAAATAAGTTAATAATAAAACTATTTGCTATGAAAAAACATCAAATACACTTAATTATTGCTTAATGTCGTCTTCCTATTCCACAGTTTTCCGTTTCTTACTGTATATACATAGATATGAATATATTTCAGTTTTTAACTTCACATTTTTATAAAAAAAAAGAATTATACTTAACATAATGTTTCACGTCTATCATGACGATCCTCAGTAGTTAAAATTCTTTGCATATATAATATATAGTATCAAATATATATACCTCTTTTGCTACAATATTTCCAAGAGAAAACGTTGAACCTCTAATCTGTAATCCATTCTCCAGAAAACTAAACAAAGTTTAATTGAAATCAGTATTATTGTTGTAATTAGTATTTATTTACATATAAATACGAGGATTAATTTAACTATTATGGATCCTCTCGTAGTTCTCCAGAGCTGAAAACTTTAGAATGGGATATCCTTAATCCCGATCGGTGAATTAATCTGGAGATTATTAACGAAAGGAGAACAAGCATTATTTAATCTAGAGATTAAGAAAAAAGGGGGATCAAGAATTAATCCCGATATCCACCATTCAAAAGTTCCCAGCTCAGTACGCCCCCCCTTTCCTTCTAAATAAGCAACCCGGTCTCCGTGATTATTGATTATTATACTATTTATTAACTAAAGGTTAGCTCATGATTCACTTACACAAACAGACCTTTTACATTATCTAGATTTACTTGTTTGTATGCTCGTTAAATAAAACATATTTATTTTCATATCATTTGGAAATAATTGAAATTTTTCATAGCGAGATTATTTACTTCTTATAAATATCTAATTTATGTTTATAATATGATAAATATTTCTAATATGATAATTGGAAATAAAAAATATTTTGGGGTTGTAATTGATAATTAGTTAACCGTTAGACATGGATCAATATGAAATTATCAATTTATAACATTATAAAACTTCTAATGCTGGATTGTAACTATAATAGTTCAACTTTAGAAGCAGATACAAAAATCTTGCGAAATTTTGTTGCTGCTGCAATTCTAGTTTCACGTAGATTTTTTTTTCGCGAAATTTTTTCTCGGATTTAAATTTTCGGGGAAATCTCTAACGAGAATTGCGTCTGCTTCCACAAAATGAATTTTGGACAAAATTTCTGCTTCCGCTGAAGACACTAAATACCAGATATAAAAAGGCTGTTGGTGTTGATGTTCTTTAATTGACCCGACATTAACTAATGTTAAATCAGGTTTTCAATGTCCCCTTGTCCATTTTCATTCTAAAACGTGTTAAACAGTGTGTATACTGTATATATTTGCTACAAGGAAGCGTAAATCTGCAAATCACAATTTATTAAAAAAAGCATTCAGAAAAAAAACTAATTGATCTGCAGATAAATGTATAAAGAGTATAAGCACCGTTGTGAATCGGACATATCACTCCCTTATTGGAGTGTCACTTTAAAATATGCCAACATTCCCTTTAACAATCCGATTTTTTAGAACCCAGCCATTCCAATGCATCTATTAAGATAGCTAATTATTTTTTTAGTCTTGTTTACTTAGAGAGAGTAAAAATGTCATTAAAATTTCTAAAGTTTATATTTTCTACAGTACTTTAGTTTAAACTAACAAACCTGATTGGCCCACTTCCATTCACGTTCAACCTTTATCAAACTTATTTACCGTTCTGTCATTTATTTATAGATATGATTATGGTGTCAAGGGTAATGCATTCTTCTTGCTAAATGCCGATGGTCAGTAACAACTCCAGTCTTTTTAAAGGATAAAGATAGATAGATGAATAAGTTCCTAAGAGAAGTTATCAACCACAGAGTTAATCCTATATTCATCATAGTCAGCAGTCCCAGTAATCCTACATTATAAATATTTCTGTAAATTAGCAGTCCTAGTAATCCTAAATTATAAATATATCTGTTAGTTTAGCAATCCCAGTAATTCTATATTATAAATATATCTGTTAAATTAGCAGTCCGAGTAATCCTACATTATAAATATATGTTAAATTAGCAGTCCTAGTAATTCTACATTATAAATATTTCTGTTAAATTAGCAGTCCCAGTAATCCTACATTACAATATATGTTAAATTAGCAGTCCTAGTAATTCTACATTATAAATATGTCTGTTAAATTAGCAGTCCCAGTAATCCTACATTACAAATATATGTTAAATTAGCAGTCCTAGTAATTCTACATTATAAATATTTCTCTTAAATTTGCAGTCCCAGTAATCCTATATTATAAATATATGTTAAATTAGCGGTCCTAGTAATTCTACATTATAAATATTTCTGTTAAATTTGCAGTCCCAGTAATCCTACATTATAAATATATGTTAAATTAGCAGTCCTAGTCATTCTACATTATATATATTTCTGTTAAATTTGCAGTCCCAGTAATCCTACATTATAAATATATGTTAAATTAGCAGTCCTAGTCATTCTACATTATAAATATTTCTGTTAAATTTGCAGTCCCAGTAATCCTACATTATAAATATATCTGTTAAATTAGCAGTCCCAGTAATCCTACATTATAAATATATGTTTGTGAACCATATCCCTCAAATTTCCCCTGTTGTAAAGGTCGTCTCCGACTAACTGTACCTCTGTTGAATATACTCCGTCCACTCACCAAACCAAACCTTGCCAAGGATTTTGCATAAACGTAAACAACAGCCGCATGGGGCTAATAAAACTTTAAGTGCATTAAAAGAACCCATTTAAACATAATTTTCAGTGAATCATTTACAAAATAAACAGTGAAATTAATTTAACCAGATAAATATTCATTTCAGAAGAATTAAATTGCTTTAGACTTCAGTTCAAACAACTTTTTGGCCTAACACAGTTTTCTAGATTGTAAGTTCCATATACCTAATTCACTTAACAATACCTTTTAAAACTTTTATTTATCAGTTCACAACAGTGCCTTTAAACACGTTATTTAACGATTCACAACAGCAATAAAATATGATCCCCAAATCCTGCTAAACTTACTAAACCTAGAATCCCCTAATCCTGCTAAACCTACTAAACCTAGAATCCCCAAATCCTGCTAAACCTACTAAACCTAAAATCTCCAATCCTGCTAAACCAATTTTTCAATACTCATTTATTGATATTATTAACAATTATTATTTATATGCATGTTCGCCAATAACAATTTGTATTTTGTAGGAAACCTCGTTACTGAAATATACATTTTCAAGAAGTTCTCATCTATCTGTGTATGGTCGGAAAGAGTGTTTCCCTTGCCTATTTGCCTTGGATTTGTCATTCTTCGAGTTACATATCCTCTGCCTCAGTACATCCCGCTTCGAGCAATTTACCTTTTTGATCGGCTCACAATGTTAAATTAGCAGTCCTAGTAATTCTACATTATAAATATTTCTGTTAAATTTGCAGTCCCAGTAATCCTATATTATAAATATATGTTAAATTAGCAGTCCTAGCAATTCTACATTATAAATATTTCTGTTAAATTTGAAGTCCCAGTAATTCTACATTATAAATATATCTGTTAGTTTAGCAGTCCCACTTTGTCAAAATTATAACAGAAAGCATTTCTGATAATTAATAATTTTTCTGACTTAACAACAGCGTTTTATTTAGGCCTTTTTATCTAAGAGGAATTTAATCAATCCATAGGTATCCCTGAAATGGAGATCAATGCTTGATATTGAGATTCAAAACACAAAGTTCTGACTACAATTAAAATTATACATTTTGATTATTTACAATTTTATAAATAATAATTTCTTACCTAAAATACAGCAAACGCCGATTCGGTTCCTGCATTTTAACAATTTTTATATTTTTCAAATCTTTTGAAATGGCAATTTAGTAGTATAGAGTGTACAAATTACATGGACAAAGGAATTGAGTCTTTGTCACAAACTTTGATTTTCTAATCTCTATATCTTTTAAATCCAATGCCGTAGACCTTAGATATTTCAAACTATGAATTCTGTTAGATGAAAAAATCTAAGTTTGAAATATCAAAGGTTTAAACCCTCAGGTTGAAAAAATATAGGTATTAGAAAATCAGAGTTTGTTACAAAGACTCAATTTCTTTTACCTGTAATATTATTTGCTTTATAACAACATTCAACACCTGTAAGGTCGCGTATATCTTGTCTTTCTATTCCAAAGTTTAATGTGTGACACTTTATGCTTTTGTCGAAAATAATTTAAGAGCATTTCTGCAATAAAGTCTTTTCATGTTTGTAAACAAGTTGCGCAAAGTTACTTAAAGGACTATTTTTAAATCTTTTACAGATAAATTCGATGTAAAGATCCATATCATGAATAATTAGAAGGAGGAGGGAGGGGGGTGGGGGTTCTATAGTTATAAACAAGTTAAAAGCAACACTTTACAACCGACCCAGTCTTAAATATAGATTCAAAGTTTTAAAGCTGTCTGGTTCTATGTACATGTTCTCTGTGGTTTGGGTAGAATCGATTGATCGCGCGCAATAAAAAACTAGTTTTGTCATATTGGAGAATATATCAGATAATCTTGGTTTTGATTCCTGTATGGTCTTTATTGCATGTGCAAAGTAATCAAATTTGAACGTCAATGTTTATATTTTACTTAATAATGCAAATCCTGCTAAAATTATAAAATGTTAGTTCAGATTTTAAATAATATATCATCATCATTTAATTAAAGGGAGTGTTCGTGAAAAATGAAAGTGGGTATAGGCTTAATGCGATAAAAAAGCGCTTTTGATCGCTACTAATCTTACTTCTATCTGTTGCGTCTATAAGGAGATAATTGATAAAGACGTCTCATACCGAAGAGCGTATTGCCCATACAAATTGAGGAAGTTGGAACATACGACTTAGACCGTAAAAAAATCGAATTAATATCAAACAAATCATTCAGATATTACAACCTATAGTCATCGATTATGTATTATACCACAGATATACGTCCATATCACGTGATCAGAACTCCCTCCAATGGCAGTACAGTATACTGGTCACGTGAAATAGATGGAGTCACGTGACAATAATACTGCATTGCCATTGGTTGGAGTTCTGGTGACATGATCCGGAGGTTTGAATAATCTTATCAATTATAACTATTAAAAATGAAAAATTATTTTATTCAAATAATAATAGGAGCAAACCTGAGGTTCTCAGGCTCCTCTGATTGGTTGCGTATTTGTTGAATATGATCTGTTAAATACTACAAATCTTATACAAAATCTTACATATATACGTTTTGGTATAATTTTGCCACAGTTTGATATCAATTTCTCAAGACAGGATCATCAGATAGAACTCTTTTTGGTCGCAATCGACTCCTGTGATTCTCAGGTTTTAGCCTATACCCCCTTTTATTTTTCCTTTACAGTTCCTTTAAGCATCCTCTGTTTAATTTAATTTTACAGAGATTTTAAACAATTTTTAGTTAAATGGGCGACCAAATATTTGATAAAATACAATAAAAATGCAGTTTTAAATTTAAGATTTAAAACTGAATTTGTATTTGGTAATTTGTGCAGAAAAGCGCATCAAAGGGACATTTAACCTAATATTTACATTTAAAGAGTATTATCCTTCAGCCCTTTCTTGACTTTACAATGAGGAAGATATCCTTGTTAGTCTCTCTTGAAAATATATAAATACTTGTGATTATTTTTCATTATTTTTTTGTTGTTGCTTGAATCTAAAACCTTGAAAAAACATTGTAAATTTTACAGGAGAAAACTAGAATAGCTATTTTATAGTCTTTTATTTCACAAACTATTGAATAAACGTAAAATTAATCCAGAAATAAAATAAAAACAGTCACAAACGGTTATTGTCACAAACTCAAATTTACTAAGCCCTAAATCTTTGCAATCTTTGATATTTCAAATTTAGATGTTTGGGCTCTAAAAGACTTGATTTTAAAATACCAAAGGGCTACGACATCAGGTTGCAAGGAGGAATTGTAGCAATATCTGAGTTCCTACATACGATGACTCCCTCTAATCAGCCGTGTTTGCAAATATCTGAATTTTTGCAAAGTTTTTGTTTTTGTTCGTGTTTAACTGGTAACAATACACGGTGCATTTTATTGAATAAACCATCATATTTGTCCAACAGATCCTATTCATTGTTTCCAATGCATGAAGCAACGTAAAATTCTAAAAAATGCATCTTCTGCCCCCTCCCCTCCACTCAATAACACCCCACCCCCTCCTGCTATTCCCCTCCAAAATTTTCCCAGTAGCATTTAAACCATGGGAACTGAATAATAATATGTATAAGATTTATAAGGTGTCTGATGCAGTCCTCCCTGTATCATCTGGTTCCTGTCCTTCTAATCTCAAGCTATACAGTCCTCCCAGTATCATCTAGTTCCTTTGCTTCTAGTCTCAAGCTATACAGTCCTCCCTGTATCATCTAGTTCCTTTCCTTCTAGTCTCAAGCTATACAGTACTCCTTGTATCATCTAGTTCCTGTCCTTCTAGTCTCAATCTATACAGTCCTCCCTGTATCATCTAGTTCCTGTCCTTCTAGTCTCAAGCTATACAGTCCTCCCTGTATCATCTAGTTCCTGTCCTTCTAGTCTCAAGCTATACAGTCCTCCTTGTATCGTCTAGTTCCTGTCCTTCTAGTCTCAAGCTATACAGTCCTCCGTGTATCATCTAGTTCCTCTCATTCTAGTCTCAAGCTATACAGTACTCCCTGTATCATCTAGTTTCTGTCATATTCTGAAATTACTTCATTGAATGCTGCCACCATCTTGTTTTATCAACAGTTGATTATACATCTTCAAATTAATATTATTTATCATATAAAGCCTTTATGAACAAGAAATATATAGAAACTAGCTTGGGAACCCAGCGTTGCCCAGACACTTGGTCATAAATTACGATTTTAGCTATTTTTCCCTACCCAGTACCCACCCAACTTTGAATCTTGAAATCAAGGTAAGAATATTTCCATTGTTCTCGCGAGTTCCCCAATCAAAATATTTGAGGCAAATCGGTCAAGGGGTTCCTGATTGTTGATCGGACAAACAAACCAACAGACAAACAGACATTACAACTTTATATTTATAGAAGATAAACAAGTTCTTAATTAGTATAATTGGCCTGGGGTTAATTATTAACTTAAGAAACACTTAAATTTTCTGAAAAAAGAAAAAAATTAAAGATTCTAAGTAAACAATTGTTTTGAAGAGATTAATCTTGTATTTGTTCCGGATAAACAATAAACATTATACACGCATACTTCATGTTAAAGAAGAGATGCAGGCTCCTTGTCAAGTCTAAATTACGCCTCAGGTTCTACGGATGCAAAATGTGCCATATTTTATCTGTCTATCTTTCTTTCCTTAAGTTTATCGATCTATCTACTTATGTTTATGTTTGAGGATATCTTTGTCAGCATGCCAAGTCAAATATGTAAAAACCATATTCTAAAAATATTTAAATTTTAGGTTTTTCCCTCTTTTATCTGTTATTTTCCTCATTCATTACTTTGACATTAGTTATCGAGTTGTCTTTGTTGGCTAGCTTTTTATTTGTCTAGTTGTCTAATTGTCTAATTGGCTAGCTGTCTAGTTGTCTAGTTGTCTAGTTGTCTAATTGTCTAATTGGCTAGCTGTCTAACGGTCTATTTGTCTAATTACTAGTTGTCTAGTATAGAATTTGAATATTATAAATTAAATCATTTTAGGATGATCATAAACATAATTGAAAGAGTCAGGGGGATCGACATGTAATTTTTAAACCGTATACATTGTCTCAAAATAGACGCACGAAAACTACATTTCAATTAATCTTTTGTATTTATACTTTTTACCTCAAATAACTAAAAACTGAACCATTTACACTCTCTTTATTAAAATTCCTAACTTCAATAAACTATTAGTTTTTTTTTAAGATTGTAGTGTAACATAAAAATGTTTTCCTTTCAAGATAAACTGCTTTATATTTCTGAGTCCATCTTTTCTCCACTTTATTCTCCCCCATCCGTTCTCCATTCTTTCCATTTTCTAGTTTCACAGTTTCCTGATCACTGCAGTTTTCAGATACAAGAGATATCGCCATTTATAAACCTGTACTTCTGTAAATAAAATGTTGAAATGCCTAAAAATTAAAAATCACATCACCTCTATAAGCTGGTTGTTTTCCAACTACATGTAATAAATATTGTGTCACATGAAATTCTATAAAGTTGCACTAAATTGTACAATATTAATCATCTATGTTTGTAAACTTCTACGTAAAAAAAAACATTATTCATTTGAACTGGGTTTCAAATGAATACGTCGCATGGTTAGCTTAAATCATTTTAATATGTACATTCAACCAATAAACATGTGTGGAGATAGATTAACTATATTATATCTATCTTAGCTAGTCCTATAAATATGCACATCTTAAATGCGCCTATTTCAACTGTGCATAATACTTAACAAGACTTTTTTATGTGATATATGAACGAAGTAGGAATTGTTATTACTTATTACTATTGACTTCAACATAATATTTAAACCTCAAATACAGTCAGTTAGAATCAGAACTCTGCTTTGATTACAGTGGAGAAAAACTGTACCCCCGTTGAGTATTCATGTTGAGAGCCATGCCTCAGTTTAGGGCTTGATAGATAGCCAATGTGTGTGTCCCTGTGTGGCATTTGAGCCAAAGTAATAGGTTGTTTGATAGCTACGCTTGTGTCCCTATGTGGCATTTAGATCCAATTAAATAGTTTGTTTGATAGCTACCCTTGTGTCCCTGTGTGCCATTTAGAGTTGAATTAATAGTTTGTTTGATAGCTACGCATGTGTCCCTGTGTGGAATTTAGAGCCTGGGTAATAGCTAGATTGATAAGCTATGCTTGTGTCCCTTCGTGGGATTTAGAGCCTGAGTAATAGCTAGATTAATAAGCTACACTTGTGTCCCTGTGTGGGATTTATAGCCTGAGTGATATCTAGATTGATAAGCTACGCTAGTGTCCTGTATGTCATTTGGAGCATGAGTAATATCTACATTGATAAGCTATACTTGTGTCCCTGTGTGGCATTTAGAGCCTGAGTAATAGCTAGATTGATAAGCTACTCTTGTGTCCCTTGTGGGATTTAGAGCCTGAGTAATAGCTAGATTGATAAGCTATGCTTGTGTCCCTGTGTGGCATTTAGAGCCTGAGTAATAGCTAGATTGATAAGCTATGCTTGTGTCCCTGTGTGTCATTTTTAGAGCCAGGTGGGTTGTGAATGGTTGGCAAGCTAGATTGATAAGCTATGCTTGTGTCCCTGTGTGGCATTTAGAGCCTGAGTAATAGCTAGATTGATAAGCTATGCTTGTGTCCCTGTGTGTCATTTTTAGAGCCAGGTGGGTTGTGAATGGTTGGCAAGGATAGCGGACTGGTTGTGTCTGGACTGATACGGTTTGGGACGAAGTTATAAGAGTATGGCATCATGGATCATGGAATCAGCTTTTTTTACAGTAATTTTTTAGGAGTCCTAATGCATCAATCAAGAATTTTCTTTAAATATCTTTTAATGTCAGATACATGCACTGAAATAACTTTAGGTAAGTTTCTCACAAAATTATATAAAATAAACAGAACTTTTAGGTTCAGGCATAATTCACTCGATCTCTTGTATTGACTCACACTGTACACTTTACATTGTACACTTTACATTGTACACTTTACAATGTACACTTTACAATGTATCCCGTACACTGTACACTTTACAATGAACACTTTACAATGTTTCCTGTATCCTGTACACTGTACACTTTACAATGTATCCTGTACACTGTACACTTTACAATGTATCCTGTACACTGTACACTTTACAATGTATCCTGTACACTGTACACTTTACAATGTATCCTTTACACTGTACACTTTACAATGTATCCA